ATATGTTACTGGTACTCATTTTCCAAAGTGATTTTTTCCACTTAACTTACATTTGGCTTCACAGATATTCACATGTAGCTCATTTCAGAGTAATCCAAACTGTCCTCTAAGATGAAACCAGCAGAGATTAGCACGCATGACTGAACAGTGAACATGTTCACTGACTGTATGGGAGCGAGTCCGGGCTCATGCTACCACAGACTCCAACAATAACACTGGGATGACATTCACATCGTAGATGTAAGTCAAACTGTTTGCAGAGGCTGAGCTGCTCTTGTGGCGGCTAATCCCAGTTGGTGAAGCCTAATAACTACAATACAACAAAGAACCATAACTAAATTTAAAAAAAAAAAAAAAATAGTAGCCTACTTCACAGCATTTTTAATCAAACTGTTACTATAATAGTTATCTAACCCAGAAAGGCTATCTTGAATCTTAAAAGACAATTGTGCTAACTAGCTAATGTAGAGGTTTAACATAAGAGGAAGCAACAGGAAGAGCTTCAGAAACATAATGCTAATGAAGATGTTACGGTTAATATGTTAGGTGTTATATGTTATAATATGTTAGTAAACAGTTAGCTGCTTACACATTCGGCACACAGAACAATTTAGTGTTGTGTTTCCAATATTCATTTTTGTTTCCTGAACAAAAATATCCGGTTTTAAGATGCTAGGTCCATTTTCTTCACCAGCTAGCCGTCCACTTAGCATCTCTGCTAGTTTGGTGTCTTAAGCTAGCCTTGGTTTGTCTGTGCTTGGAAAGATGGTGACTTAATCAATAAGCTAAGGCAGATTCAGTTGTGAAATTAAAAGCATTGCATAATAAAGGAAGGTTTTAGTCTTGTCTGGGAGAAGTAACATTTTCTTTGGCCTGTAGGGTTCTGTCCCATCTGACCCTTTGGGCTGTTGCAGAAAATATTGGCTTTATTGTCCTCTATAGTGTAAACTTCAATTTTCCTAATGTGAAAATCTAACAAAACCCTGAAGGTGGAGGAATGGACAGGAGTGACGTATCCTAAAAACAAAACGGATTGTGGTAAGTGATAGCAGCGTAGTGTTGCTGAGACTGCCATATTTAAGCAGATGCTGTTACTTACTGCTTAGATACTGACACAGCAAGATGCTTGAAAGAAGCAGACGCAGAATCCAAACCACATACGGCACAATACTGCAAATCTAATCAGCAGGCCTGTGTGCTGCTTGTCATATTCTGCTTGAGCCGAAACATAAAGACACATGTACCGTATAGGGGGAAAAAAACTACTCAGTTGGAAACACCATAGTGCAATTATGGATAGAGCTGCTAAGAGCAGGGTGCGCCTGTTGTTAATTCATTATGTAAGAGTAGTAAGGCAGACAAGTAAGCTTTCCAGCTGATAGGTTAGCCGAGCTTCTCCTGTTTCACCACGCAGATGCCGGCTGCGAGTCTTCTTTAAAGTTTACTTGAGGTGGTGAATATCACGTATCGGTATCAACACTCAACACCAGCTGCTGTGCACGCTGGGAGTTCCAGCAGGTTGGCCTATAGTAGGTCAGGTCCAGTCAGATTTATTCAGAAATGCTTTAATCAATCAGTTGAGTCCGAAATGCCTTTCAGAGACTGTAAGACGAGGCCAGAACCTTTCAAACTATTTGAAGAGTTTACATACATTAAACCAATTTTTAAAAACAATCGAGACAGAAGGTTAGGTTGGTTCAGGTATAACTTTTTCTTGCAGTGCCTCCAAACATGACATTAAATTGACAGATGTACTGTAAATGAAAGATGCATTTTTTCAATGGATTAAAAACTGTTGATTTTGTGTTAAACAACTAAATCTTGTGGGCACAAATGTTTTTGGTGACTAACCCTGAAAAAAAAAAAAAAATTCTAAATAATAAACTTCTTGCCTTTAGGTTCTTTTATTTGTTTTTCCAGAAAGAGACAGGCTTCACAGTTATATTCTATTGTAGACTGAAGCGAAAAGCGAAGTGAGTGTGTGACTGACAGACTTAGACTGACTCTTGACTCTTGTCTGACACATGTCATGTGTCATATATTTGACTGCTGGGCTCCTTAGGCTTTCAGAACTAATCACTTGTACAGTTTGTGTTTCTGAAACTTCTGGGAGGGGAAATGTGTTTTGATACTGCTGATTCTGGCGCAGTGCAACGAGGGGGAGCAAAGACTGACAAACCTGAGCCAAAGGTACATGAAAGACACATGCTTCGTAGTTATTCTCTGTTGTAGACTGAAGTGAAAAGCAAAGTCAGTGTGTCACTGGCAGACTTAGACTCTTGGCTCTTGTTTGACACGTGTCACATATTTGACACATTAGTGACATCTGTCAGAAATGATTCTACGATGACAGGACAGTGTGTGTGTGTGTGTGTGTTTGTTTGCATTACAAACAGTTTATCTGCACAGACAAATTCCTCAGTGTGTAACATCTGTCCTTAAATCAGTCAAATTTCTTCCTGAAGAATATCATTGATCTAGAAGCAGTATGTAGAGAAAAGAAAAAATACTGTTTGCAGTGTGTTAACATGGCTTATGTGACGACCCTCTGCACCTGCTGCTTCCTGTGTGTTGCTTTCTCCTTTGCAGGTACTAGAGGTGGGTTTGGTGAAGGGTTGTCAGTACCCGGGCTTATTAGCAAACCTGGCACACCTGGGCCCTGTGTGTGTGTGTTTTTAAAACCATGTTGGAGCTCGGTTCTGGTTCTCTTGCCTCCCTGAGGCACCCATTTGTCACAAACTGGCTCAGTGAATATGACAAGAAGGGTGATCACACTAAAAACAAACATTTTATCATAACTAAAACATAAGACAAATAAGTGGTATACGTGCTGTGGAGGTGTTGTATGAGCAAAGGCAAAAGATGACACCAAAATAAATGGATGTCAGCAATTGGGAGTGTGAGGACAAGTGACCAGATGGGCCAGCTTTTGTTGTTCTCTGGAAGGCCCAGGTGAACTGCATCAGCTGACGACCCTCACATGTCGACCAATTGCCAGGACAACCTCCAAGACAATGGGAGGGGCGTCACAGGTGCAGGTGGAATGTGTTTATTTTACATGTAATTTAATGTATCCTGGTTATTATCATCAAAAATAACCCACAATATAAACATACTCTGATTGGAAAAGGTTTTTCTGTGATTACTGGCCACTAAAAAAAAAAGTACATGAAGCTTGTCTGTCATCATACAACATCTGTACGCGTAGAGCAAAGACATGTTTTGTGACCACAGCAGATATAATCCACTAGACTGCTGATTTTATCAATCAGTATCTTTAATTTGCATTCACTGGATAAATTTAGTTATGGACTTCCATGATTGCTTCATTGGTCAGTCAGTAGGAAATCCCTTCTGTTTATATTCTCGACCCCATGAGGTCAGTGGTGTCACGCACCAAAAACCAGCTCAGCCACTGTTAAAGCTCTAATTTGTGAATGTGTTGAAATTAGCCCCGGATGCAGTGATACTCCTGATTACTGTTGCATAAGGTGTTAACCTGACACAAGCCTAATCCAAGCTCAGTGCATTCAGCCTGGTGGGCTGCCGAGGCATTCAGCCAGAACTAATCAGATGTAGAGTTTGTGTTTCTGAAACCAGCAGGAGGGGGAACAGGTTTGGATGTACTGCGGATTCTGGGTGGGAGCAGAGTTTGAAAAGCGAGAAGTTTTGAAATTATTATCATGACTCAAGTGAGTTTTGTGCACCCTGAAAGTCCTGAACTGTGTTACTTTTGCAGATCTGGAAATGTGGATAGAGCCTGCAGGGTGGTCTGGTGATTAAAAAGAGAAGCCTGTTAGAAAACCAGTATATTTTTCTGGATAGGATTGTTAAGATACTTCTGTTAGCAAACAGCAGTGTTATTCTCATTTCAGTTCCCCGCAGCCAGTCGTCCTGCAGCAGCTGCTTCCACGGAGACAGATGATCAGTTGTGCTGCTCCTTCAGCATCGACATTGTAATCAAACAGCCTCGATCTTAATCTGGGTCTGTCGCAGTGATATCATAGGAGTCAGAACGTTTGACAGTGCAGACTGCATGCCGGGCGTTTTTAAATGCTGCTTTGAAAATATCGCACTTGAAGGATTTCATCTCGGAAGTGCAAAGTTTGGGATATGAGTGCAAAAATACTGAGGCTCTTCTGTGGTTTATAATGATGCTGCTCTTTCAGTCAGATCTCAGTGGAAAACTTGATATAATGCGGGTAGAATCCATCAATGTTCTGATCACATAGCATGATTTTAAAACACCATGTTTTGTTTGAGTGCTGGCTGTGAAAAAGGGCGAATCACTAAGGAGAGATTTTCATATTAACCTCTGTTACCAAAGTAGCTGCTGTTATTTACGAGGAAACAAGAGAACAAAGCATTTTGGCATGTATGATGAAGGCACATATTTTGGGAGTCTTCCCTCACGCCTTATAAGATGCAGACACACAGACACGTCTATGGCTCATGTCCTCAGGCCATGATGCAGTCCAGATTAGCTCTGGATGGGAGCATGAATCATGCCTGGATGTGTTTGTGAGTACAGAGGAACAAAAAATAAGATTAGAGCCACACACGGGGGAAAACAATGGAACAATAGAAGATAATCCCCACAGAGAAAGATTGTGACTTGAACCTCAAATGTTCATCATTAAAACTTCAATAATCCTGATTCCGTAGACAGAACATAGAACAGTCACTACCGGAAAACATCTCACATTTATTACATTGTTTTTTTATGATCGTTTTATGACTCCTGAAATCAGATGAAGCTGTTTTTTTACAAGTCACTTCAAATTCAGAAAGTTTCTTCTACTGATCAACAATCCCAACAACCCTCTACAGAACACAGTCGCTATGCGGAGTGCTGGGGCAGCAAAAATTGTGCTATGCTGCCCTGTGTAAACATTTTCTATTGCTGTACTTGCATTGAAGGAACATTTAAGACGCCAGCAGCTGGAATGTGTCTCCACATTGCTCACAAAAAGTAACATATACGCTTTGTGTTTCCACAGAGTTGAACATGGAGTACAATCCGTCGGACCATCCGCGGGCCAGCACCATATTCCTCAGCAAATCCCAGAACGATGGTAAGTAGCTTCATTTCAAAGGATTTGATTGATGTATCAATTTTTTTTTTCAGTTGTCTTTTTAATGAGCATGTGATTGGTCATAGTTAGTCTGAGGAAGAGGCATGTGCCTTAGTTCGGGATGCTACACTCCAGTTTTCAGTGTGCATCATCACACTGAACAATGACCGAGATGTAGTAAGTATGTAGGAACGCTGATCTCAGAGCTACGAGAAATTTATGCAACGGCCTGAAGCATTTGACTAAGAGCTCCAGCATAGGGCTGGGAAAGTCATTGCCTTCTGTGAAAAAAAGGAATTATTAACATGTTTCTAAGAGCCATAATCACCACAGCATGAGATCATCATCTGTCTTAAAGGCCAGGGGAACAAACAGCAGGACAGTACTGGCTTTGTGATGTTGAAGTAGGGGAAAACTGCATCTGATGAATGGTTAAATTGAATCATCTGCATTTTACACATATGGATGTTAGATATTGTGTTGCATCACTGTGATTTTTGCCCAGGCTTATGGACTTTGTCACCCAGAGAATCTGTTTGTGCCATGAGATGGCTGTTGAGTCACTGCGAACAAACAAAGAGGGAATCAAAAAGTCGGACAATAAATGAATGAACATGACATTTTTTGTGATTATTGTTGGTTGTCATTTAGTTTTGGAGGAAAAAAAGTCACATGTTGGTAATCTCCCCCCCCCCCCTTGTCATAGCTTTAAGGGATAAAGCAGAGGTTATTTTAGCCTTTTTTTTTTAATCAACAAATCCCCTGAAGACACCAAACCAACAGTAAATTAATCCTACTAGCAAATATTGTCTGTATACTCACAGCCTGATATGTTCCTGAGTAAATAAAGTTTGGAAGGTCAATTTACTGGGTTTGGTTGTTTTCATGATCGTCATATAAAACCAGCTGTATCCTTTAATTCACTGGTTTCCTTCATAGTGGAGCAGCTTTTTGCGACACCTCATCACAAGTTGAGTTGTGAGCAGTTAAACCAAAGACTGATGTTCACGTCTGAAATGGTTTCATTTTGAAGTTAGTCTTTATAGTCCCAAAGAGCCAAAGCTCTAGAGTAGTTTACAAGAGAAAAAGCAAAAATGTGAGGGAATAACTTCAATTCACAAACAAGGGAGACACAATCATACCTGAATATGTAGCAAATAAGCAAATGCTTACTCTATGTTATCTTGATTAGAATTTGGGGTTATCTTAATATTGTGCTTCAGCCTAAAATAATGTGTGTGTATATGATGTATGAATTGAGAAAAGGTTAGTAACTACTGCTGAATTGCAGCACATTTGAAATGTATTCTGCTGTTGTCACTTTATAAGAATCAACGACTCTGCTGCAAATGGAATAAGTTTTTTTGGTTCCTCTTTTCTCAGAGATGCCTTACAGGAATGGTGAGTAGTCGTGAGTGTGACTTTGTCTCCCTCTAGTGGTGTGACGGCAGCTTTTCTTTTAAACTCTCAATGTTTATTTCTGCTCGAACTCTTTTTCTTTAACTGTCACTGCTCACCTGTTTTAACAAAAGGCTTTTTTTTTGTGAGTCTCAATTAACATCGTGAAGTGTGTTTTTGCTTCTGGTTGATACCTGCTGGGTTTTCTTGTACGTGTCTTTCTGCTGCTTTCAACGCAGAAGTAATTAAATTCATTGACAAACCTCCCGTTCTTTCTTTAGTGCAAGACAAGCGAAAGAGCCTCTTCATCAATAATGTGAGTGTGCAATCATTTCTGTTTCCCTCCACAAATCTAATCCATGGTGTTTATCAGTTAATTGTTGCTTTAAGTAAAAATCAGCTGGCCTTTGTGTGATTTTGAATGAACCACACGTTGTGGACAAAGCAAGCTGAAAATATAAGCTGTCACATTTTTAGGTCTCATGTCGTTGATTCTCGTTTCCCCTGTGCATGATACCCTGTCAGGCTTTATGTGGGTCAGACAAAAACATGTACACTCTAATAACACTCACTGTGTGTGTGTGTGTGTGTGTGTCTGTAGCACGGAACGTTGAGGCGGAAATACAGCTCCTGCTCCACCATCTTCCTAGACGACAACACAGTCAGCCAGCCCAACCTCAAATACACCATCAAATGGTTAGAACATGACAGCACAATAAAAGAGAAATGGTTCATCTGTCCTATTTCCCTGTTCGTATAAACAGTTATTTGTTTTCTCTTCACAGTGTAGCACTGGCAATTTACTACCATATAAAAAACAGGTGAGAACTCTCAGTCATTTTCTGTACTTAGTCAATAATGGTTTTTTTTTGTAAACTTTTAAACTGCAGCCTGGTTTTGGATTGATGCACATAATGATACATAAATGTGGACTTTAGGGTCAAAGAAAATGTGAATTTAGTGACTTAATGTTCAGTAGTTTTGTCTATGTACAGTATTCTGTTTTATGTAGGCGTGTCTTTTTGTGTTTGTATTTTATTTGTATTTAAAAATCCTTTCAAAGTAGTGGATTTTACACTTTATCCACCAATTTACGCCATCTGTGCTACTGCTACTTACTTGTATAATCTCTGGAAGCAATAATGGTAGTCTTAACTTATTGTAGAGATAAATCAACCATGTGACTGTGTTGCCTCATTCTAGGGACACAGATGGAGGAATGCTGCTGGATATATTTGATGAAAAGCTTCACCCTCTCTCAGTAAGATTTCCGATTTCTTATCCTTCTCTGCTCCCACCTTCCATCCCTTTTCTTGTCTTTTTTCTTGCTCCTGTGGGCTCTCATCCCCCTGTTACTGTATATTTTCGTTTATCTTCTTTTGCCTCTCCTCTGTTTCCAAATGTCCCTTTCCACATTCATCCCTACCAATTTCCTCACCTCCTTCCTGGCCCACCACATCTTCCCTTCCTCTCTTTAACCTCTCTCCTCCCTTCTTCCAGAAATCCGAGGTGCCGCTGGACTACAACCAGCACGACCCAGAGCAGAAGCAGATCTACCGGTTCGTCAGGACGTTGTTCAGCGCTGCTCAGCTCACTGCTGAGTGTGCCATCGTCACACTGGTAAGATTTTTAACCTCCTTCATCTTCCTATTATGTTTTTTGAACCATGCGTTCATCCGGTTCAGACAGTTTCTGTTTAGGCCTCGGGGGGAAATTGCACCCTGATGCACTGAGACAAGCCAGGGATGTGTATAAATTGGTGATGTGGCTGTGCATCCGAACTCCCACGTTATCTCTGTGTGTTGGTGGGACTCAGAGACCACTGATGAATGTAAGATGTCATAGAGGAAAAAAAGAATATATACCTCCTGACAACACGGAGCAGAGCATGAATATAAATTAGTTAGACAGATTAGAACGCCCACCTTGTTGGGGACTTGTTAGGTCACGATGATAAAGCTTCCAGACTTATAACCTTTAGCTTTTGAAAATGTCTTTGGTGTTTTTTTGTCTATTTGAATCATTGTCTTTTGCCCTACTTCCATGCCCAGTTTTCAGTGATGTCTCCTTTATTCGTGTTGCTGTGCAGGTCTACCTGGAGAGGCTCCTGACCTATGCAGAGATTGACATCTGTCCGGGGAACTGGAAGAGGATTGTTCTGGGTGCTATCCTGCTGGCCTCTAAGGTCTGGGATGACCAGGCTGTGTGGAACGTCGACTACTGCCAGATCCTCAAGGATATCACTGTGGAGGACATGTGAGTATTTGTACTAAGATGAATGGCAGCTTTTACCTTTATAACATTAATATTAAACAGCAAGTTTAGGGTTAGATTTGGAATTAGTTTAATATGAACAGAAGGAATCATGATGAAGATGATCTCTTACAAGTTTGTAGAGTCTGTGTTACATGGAGAAAATCGTAATCACAGAGAAGAGGACTAAAAACAATGGGTTTTAGGTGAATCCAAGGACAGGATAAAAATGAAAAGGCGGAATCACTCTTTCCTCAAAGGCTCAACAATACTTAGCTTCTGCAATTAAAGAGCACAGACTTGTGAGATTCTGTATCTACTCTGGGGTTTGTGAGTTTAAGGGGACATATATTTTATTTTGAAAGTCATTAGTTCAGTCTGGTGATGCAGAAATGTTATTTTCTTAACAGGAATGAATTGGAGCGGCAGTTCCTGGAACTCTTGCAGTTCAACATCAACGTGCCGTCCAGTGTCTACGCCAAGTATTACTTTGACCTGCGGTCGCTTTCGGAGTCCAACAACCTTAGCTTCCCCCTGGAGCCGCTCAGCAGGGACAAGGCCCAAAAACTAGAGGTCAGAGGCCTCTGTTAAGCTGCACATCCAAGCAGTCTTTTACCTCTTTTTAAATCTCTGTCCCCCTATTTTTCATTTCACTTTAAACTCTTAATTTTCCCACATGTTCCCATAATTTTGTAATTTGCCAGTAAAATTGAATCTATAATTTCAAGTTTATATGTGTTTTGAAAGGTCTGACTTGAAAAAAGCTTTAAAGGATACAAAACAATGTCATGAGGTTGTTACATTGCGGCCGTAAAGGAGCTATTTGTAAGTTTTGCTATAAACCAGCGTTAGCATTAACAGCGGTTTACAGTTGTCGCAAGAGCTTCAGCCATCTTTGCATTCATAATACAAAAGGTTATAATACGTCCTCTGAGCAGCGCTACTTCTTCAGGGCAGACTGGACGCTACAGTATCTCAGTATTGAAAAGTGACAAGATGGGCCCAACTAGGCCGGGACTACCTAGTTAGCATGCTAACTTTATTGGCGAAATGATAGAAATAGATGCAAAACACTAGGATTGCTTTCCACCTCTGGAAACAGGAATAATGTCTGCTGCTGAGCTCCTAATGTTTCTCCTAGACTGGTAAGTAAACAGCTGTTAATGCTAGTGATGGTTATGTAGCCTAGCAATAGCAAAACTTAAAAATAGCTCCTTTAATAGTTGAACACAAGATTACTCACAAACAAGCTATTCTTTCATGAATGCAGTTTGTCAAAGAAAAAATAACTATAACATTTTTATTTTGTTAATAATAACCACTACTACGCCCCCTCTCCAGGCTATTTCCAGGCTTTGTGACGACAAGTACAAAGACATACGGAGAGCTGCCAGGAAGCGCTCTGCCAGCATGGACAATCTATGTGGAATCAGATGGGTTCCTGCAATTCTCTCCTAACCACTAACAAACTGCCATATACTGAACACTTGCATCAGGCTACAGACACTAACCACATGAAAAAAAACAAAAAAAAAAACAAACAAAAAAAACTCTACATGGTTCTGTGCTGAGTTCAAGAACTTTGGTTTGGATACCCAGATAATGCCAAGACCTGGATCTTAGTGGAACAGTGACTGAAACCTGAAATCAGCCTCTGGACCCCACACCTTCAAACTGGAGGCAAGAAACTGAAACCACATCTGTAGTTTTGGGAGATGAGCTGAACTCCAGAGTGATTTCTAACCTTACCTGATGCCTTCACAGTGCCTCAAAGCAGCTATGAAAGAGAGAAAGGAGTTCCTGGTTGTTCTATCAACTATGGAGAAAAATCCAGCTCTGGACCATGAAGGACGTCCTGAAACTAGACAGAGCCTTGAAACTTCTTCAGATGGCAGTTTGAACCTGCCTTAATGTAAAGACTCTGTTCAGTTTTCTGGTTTTGTCTGACTAATCTGGTTGACATAACCCGCCTCTCAGATGGCCCTGGAACCTTTCAATGAAGCATATTATTTATTTTTACCTTATTATTTCCACTTTTCAACAGTTGCAGCTGCCTGATCCCTAACTGCAGAATTTCAAAAACAGTAGCATAGCACTGGAATTTGTACCGATTATTTATTTCCTTTTGACAGGTCTTAGAATAATAAAAGTGTTAGCAAGTTTTCTTCTCTGGAAATCTTTGTATTTAAGGTTTACAGTATTTCTAGTGTACCTCTTGATACTCAGGTAGTCTGTTTTAGTATGTTAACTGATTTTGATGCTCCTCATTTGAGTTATACTGAAGGTTGAAACACAAATTATGATAAGTGAGAAGCAAACAGCAGATGAAAGGGGCTAGATTTCCCATAGATATATGTGCGACCAGTACAGTCCTATTTCAGGGACATGCACAATCAAACACTTACAACCACAATACTGTATAAGATGAAATATATACTAGAGCATGTTTTTCCTGAGGTTCTCATTCACTATTCATCAGGTTTTGGTTGTATCTTAACATCACTTTGTTAAGAGGTTTCAGCAGTTAATACTAAAACATGAATATTCCTCAAGCCAAGTTGGATTGTAGGTGCCCCACATAGGCTTTGAGTAGAATGAGTGCACCTCTACGCTGACATCTAGTGGACATTTGAGCATTACAGAAAAACTACCAATTCAGAGTTTGATGATTTTAAAGGGTCAGTTCACCCAAAATTCCAAATTCTTAATGGTATTTACTGGAGTAGAATGTTTTTACTTTCATCGGGGCTATTCATCAGTAGAAAGTAGTTCCAATGAAAACATTTTACAGTGAAAACGGTGATGGTCAGAGAGAGACATCTCAAATAAATCCAAAAACAACCTGCGAGATCAGAGGCCACTAGATGTAAATGAGAAAATATGTCTGAACTGAATTGACAAGGCACAATGTGAAGGTAAGAATTGGGGCTGCTGATTGGAAACAGATGCAGGGTTATTTTTGCACTTTACAAATGTATTTAGCACCAAACTCCAACACCAAACCTCAATTTTACAGTTAAATAAACTAAAAGTTCAACCTCAAACCAACAGAATAATCGCAGCCAACAGCCGGGTAAACAGGACTGACAAGCATACTCTGCAGGTGGTGCTAGTGCATATAGAGGGTGCGAGGAGGCCACGCAGCACTGCTTTGTTTTTATTTATTCAGTATTGTAGAGCCAGATAACACATTACATCCATAGTACAGTACATTTGGAAAATGTTCAATAAAAAAACCTCCAGTCTCATAAGTGTCATGCTCAATGGCTGCTACCCCAGACTCTTTTATTTCCTGGCTGATGCCTTCACATTGCTATCATAAAGAACAGGACACTAATACTTTGCTAAGGAAAAGGGAACAAAATGATCTTTTCAACAGCAGCCTTAACCAAAGAAAACTGTACAAATGTGGGTGTTATCACATTGTAAGGCCTCTGTAAAGAAGTTGTCACATGTATGATCACCACAATCACTAGGGCGTGACCAACAGCAACAATCTATCCTGGATTAAAGCATTAGCCATGGTGTATGCTCCAATTTTCAAAAAAGGTCAGAATCAATAAAAGTGTTGGTGTTGCTTTAGCACAAAGATGTACATTAATTGCCTTTACATTTCAGAGATATTCTTTTGGGTATTTTGGTATGTAAACCAAACTGAAATCTGAAAATTATAAATCATTTTAGTGCACTTGTACTCGTTTAAAGATTTCTTTTTGGGCATTTTGCCTTTATTCACAGGGATAGTGGAGATTGACAGGGAAGAGAAAGAGAGAGAGGGGATGACGTGCAGCAAAGAGCCCAGGTTGCATTTGAAACCAGGCCCCTGAAAATAAAGACTGAACCTTGATATGGTATGAGCTTAACCAGGTGCGCTACAGGTGCACCCCATTGCACTTGCACTCTTTTCAATCTCAGTATATTCAATAAACCCCGACTGTTGAGCCAAGAATTTCACAGTATAGAAACTATTTCCATTGTGCATCTAATTTCAAACTAACTGCTACTCTCAAATAACTGATCAGGGTTTCATGGTTTTGTTTTTCTCATTTGTCATTTGAAAACTGAACCACTACAGTTATTTTGCAAATGAACTTTGTACAGTGTATAAAGAGTTCAGAAACTGACACAGGTCAAGTGTACATTATTCATGAACTTGTTGATTTGTGTTTTTAATAAAGAAAAATGCTCTTGTCTACTAATCCTCAGTCTTTAACAGGTGATTTGTGGATTTTTAAAAATGATTTTTATTTTATATACTTCTCTGTGTCTACTGAAGTAATAATGATTAATTGTCTTGTGATGAGATCATTACCTTAAATTGAATCACAGTTTGAATTAATACCATGTGATTGTCCGACTTAAGTTTATGGTTGTCCATTACATGCCTGCCTATATATGATGGCCACCTTCCAGTAAGTTTGACTGGTACCTTGACATCCCAACAATGCTTTGATGGCAGCCTGGTAAGAATAGCTCACTGCGCAGATCCTGGCCTCTGCTGCACACAAGAGTGAGAGGCAGCAGCACAGCATTAGAGGTGACTGCATTTAGTGGCAAGCTGTGAGGGTCGGCTCTGTGGTTTCGGACCAGTGGTGAAGGGGACAGCAACCTAGGGACAACTCCTGGGCAGAAAAATCAACACCATTTGGATTTGGAAGAGTTTGAAGTTGAACAATGAGGATGATGGGTGCAAGAGACCTACTCTTCATCACTATCAGTCATAATGTGTCCTTTATGGGTAAGTTATTCTAAAGTGTTTCTTTAGGATATACCCTGATTCGGTGTTGGCAGGATTTGTCGCTTACCTATATGTAATGTACTATCACAGCTGCTCTCTAACAACAGTGGAATTAATTTTTCCTTAACAATTTTCTAATTTGTTGTCAGAATTTTTAAACATGAATATTTAATTGACTCATTTTATTCTCCTTTTCTTTTAATAACCACACAGACAATAAATTACAGCGCTGTGTTGTGTCAGTTGTGTTATGTTTGGCATTATGATACTTTATCACTTATTTAGCCGTATTTATACATGTAACCTATTATTGGGTGCTTGATCATCTTTTATCCATTGCAGGCAAAACCTGGTGGATGCTGATGCTGGTTGTACGTCTGCTGGTAGTCCTGATGGCCGGCTTCTCGCTCTTTAGTGACGAGCAGGAGAGATTTATCTGTAACACCATCCAGCCTGGCTGCTCTAATGTGTGCTTTGACGTATTCGCTCCTGTATCCGTCCTCCGTCTCTGGCTCTTCCACCTTATTCTTCTCTGTCTTCCTCATGTACTGTTTGCAACCTACGTCATGCATAAACTGTTGTCATATCCTTACTTTGGAGTTTTGCACTGGGAGAGGAGTCGAGGAGGTTCACCTTTCACTCTCGAGAACTCAAGCTCCTCGAGAGAACTGTTCTTGCATAAAGCTCCACTACATGACCTCCCGCGTGAATGGGGAACACCACGCTTCTACTGTGCTTACTTCCTTGCTGTAATTTTACGGATCCTTCTAGAAGTGGTTTTTGGTGCGGGCCAGTTTTATCTCTTTGGTTTGTCCGTTCCGAAAAGCTTCCTCTGTTACGAGGCTCCCTGCACATCTGGGGTTGAATGCTACATCTCCAGACCTACTGAAAAGACCTTAATGCTCAACTTCATGCTGGGTGTTGCCTCCCTGTCCGTCCTGCTGAGTTTGGTTGACCTGGTGAGCTCCATGAAGGCGATGGTGAGGTGGAGGAGGAACAGGGAGATGCTGATAGAGGAGATGAGTAAAGGAGAGCAAAGCAGTATGCTCACAACAACAACTGTGAATGAAGACAGTGACGTTCTTTCAACCAGAAGAATCAGCCCAGGTGGAAGCTCAACGCATCCTGACAGAGATGAAAAACATGCTGCTGGTGTTGTGCCGAATAACGATGAACTCCTTCATATGAAAGTGAATGGTGGGCCCACCCTTAAGACTAGTGTATCTACCAGTGAGAAGAGCCCAGAAAACAAAGACTCTAAGTTGGACATGGCTCACTCACCTACTCCCATGAGCACTCCAGTGCCAACTCACTTTGTCCTCCACAGCCATCTAAGACCTCCATTATCCCCCCGTCCAGATAGAGGACCACCACTGAACCCTAGGATGCCAACACCCATGAGTGTCAAAAAGCTGGGACAGTGCACCCCTGTGGGAACAAACTCAAGCCAACAGTCTGACAGCAGTGACTCTCAGGACAAGAGGGCATGGGTGTGATTGGCCACTAAAACTGCTCTACAAGCCAAATGACTTAATTTAAACATTATTCTAAAAGCATGAATTCATAGAGTTATACTGTAAAGGAAGATTTGTTAGAAATTGTAAAGCTGAACTATTGAACATTATTATTAACAATGAGTCAAATGACTATGTGATGTGAAAGGTGTTACTAATAGTAATATACCTACAAAGAAATAGGTTAAATAGGTTTTTTGACTCTTTTAGCTCTTTTTTTTTGTTAAATTCTGCTTTTGAATGGAAGTCAGATACTGTCTTCAGCTTGTTCCACTGCCCCCAAGTGGCCAAAGTCAGTCATTACAGAATTAGAATAAAACGTAATTTTGCAATGATGAAAACAGCTCAAGGGCTCACAGGATATAAAGCCAATTGATATGCAAGTGACAATGTACATTTTTGTCAATATAAAAAAAGGTACTTTTAGATTTAACAACATTTAAAAAATTAGCCACTTTGTGTCAATCTTTGAATTTTTTTGGACATCTTTGGATTCATGTTGTGTAGTTTTCCCCTGATGCATGCTTTCTAAATACTGTTTTTAAATGAGTTGTACTAAAAATTAGTTCATTGATCAGATACATCTTGTTCAGTAAAATACAACTGATTCACGCTGTTTTACTTTTGTACACTCCCAGTTGTGTTTGTTTTAATACCCTCACCTGCTTCTGTTTTGCTGTGAGAAAATGAATCCAACAAACACTGACCTTGATGACGCAGTGGTGGACAGTGCTCAGCTGTTGTCTGGATTACTGAGTGCTGGCAGCCACAACAGACACACTGACCTGACCTCTGACATCTCACATGACCGCTCGACAAACCCAGCCATGACCTGACTTAAACCAAGCCTGCTCGGATGACCTAAGACCTTCAACCTTCTTGCTGCCATTATTCAAACATCAACTCGGCATACATGTTCTACCATTTGACCTATATGATACAGAACATGATGGGATTCATTGTTTCCTTGACATAACAGTTGCAACTACTTGAATGTGAATTTTAGCTTCGATTAAAACTGACACTCCTATCTGGTCAAAACGATGACAATGAATGCAACAGCACAACCCCTGAGCCACATTACCCCTCAGTGTATAGCTGTGACCCGAACACAAGCCTCATTCCCTTCCCATTCTTCTTCTGCTGTGGTATTTGGAGCAGCTAAGACGTGCAGAAACATTAGCAGTGGTGGGTTGGGTGCTCAGAGAAAGGACTGTACTGTCGCTGGTGGAGGTCAAGAGGTCGGACAAGTGAACCCGGTGACCCTATACATGCATATTTACATAAAACTGTCCCTGAGGTGACAGTATGTGTTTGTTGTTGACTGACCTTCCCACAACTTGTCAACCTAGCACTCACACACAAAACACACACAGAAACTATTTTATTAGCTATTTGTCCTTGGCAAAATCCCAGCCACCATGTCTGTCAGATCAGCCATGTTACAGGCACTGCTTTGTTGTGCAATCTATAAGATCATATGGATACATTCCGCATACACCAGCCCGATATATATATATATATATATATATATATAATATATATATATATATATATAATTATACTATGTATGCATGTTTGGCCATTAAAGTTGGAATAATTTTGTTTTCAGACACAGTCCTCTCTTTATTCCTATTTAAATGCATCAGTAATCACTTTTGACCAGGTGCAATGATTACATTATGTGTCCCAATTACCCAGGTGAAATGAAATAAATCACATTGTCACAATCATTTCATGGAAAGAGGTAAAAAATATTTTATTCCAACTTTATGAGCAATATATACATGTATGTATGTATATGTGGTTTTTATTGGACATTTTATGTGGACACCCATGTGATAGCTGAACATCTCCACCACCTCCACTCTCTCCTGAAGGCTGTTCACAAGATTTAGGAACTTGGCTGCAGGGATTTGCTCCCGTTTAGCCACAAGAGCATCAGGGAGGTCAGCCACTGATGCCCTGTCCTGTTCCAGTTCATCCCAAAGGAGCTGGATAGGGGTTGAGGTCAGGGCTCTGTGCAGGCCAGTCAAGTTCTCTCTTGACCTGGTTTTATGTGCATGAAGGCACTGCCATGTTTAAACAGTAAGAGGTTTAACCCAAACCATGAAAAACAGGCTCAGATCAAAAGTACACAAGTCTGTCCATATACTTTTGGCCATATTGTGTATAATGTAAAAGACATGGTGAAAAATTATATTTCACAAATAGTCATTGTTCACAGATTTGATATAACAGTTTCCTGCTTGAAAAAAGCCTTCAGATATAGACACATGCCTGTCATATAACTTCAGAATAATGTTGCCTTTACTGACATCTAGTGGTCAATGCTGAGTAATGCAGTAGACAAAAGCATAGACATGACCACAAGTCACAAGAGCATTGCCAGTATGAGAGTATCAACTATTTTTTTTTCATACCACATGAAGTATTCTGGTGGAATTTGTGACTAACCATAGTTAGTCAATATAAGTGAAAAATAAAAATGTCTAAGATACTATTCAATATCTGATATACACTGTTTACAAAAAACCCTCTTTATTTATCCTTAAAATAAATGCTCTTTAAAATAGGCTATATGATTTTTTTTTGTGACATTTAACATTACCTGATATATCATCTGCTAGTTTCTAAAACCCACTCTGTAAGGAACTTTTGAATGGTTGACTATCATTTTAAAAGTTCTGTCAGGTGTCTGTCAGTTTTTTTTTCAAGGAATGTCTTTAACTGGTAGAGAGAAAATGCCTCATACCTGCACCCTGTGTTGTACAGCTGTACACACATTTCCGTCCAGAGCGGTTTGCTAGGAGTCGCTGCCCTCTCTCCTCCCCATCGATCTCCTCCCCAACTGAAGTTAACACTTCAACCTGCGCGGCCGCCTGAGCCTGAGGGGAAATAACACACGCCGATCTCATGGGTGACAGACGGAGGAGATTGAGAAGTAGGAGGGAAAACTCAACGCTGACTACATTGCCACATCAGAGAAGATGTCGGGAGCATCAAAAATATTGATTACCCAGCATCCTCTTCACCTCTGAGGTGGTAGCTGAGATGGATTGGGGGGTGGGGGTGGAGGGGTGGTCGGGGGTAGGGTTGTCCCAGGTGGCTACAGCTCGGAAAACAAAATCTATTCTGTCTTCCTTTGATGTTAATGATAGAGAGATTGTAAGGTAGAGGAGGAGCAGGGTGGTCCAGTGTTGTTTTTGTATAAAGGAAGACAGAATGACTCCTACGTCTTGCCTCTGCTTTGACTTCTTGTCTGCAGATTAGTTAGTTAAGGAGTGTGGCTGCTCTTAAATACAGTATACTATCACAAATACCCACCACCACAAGCATAATGTCAAACTGAAAGGCTGCATGGGTTGAAACCTGTCTTGCCTGCACCTCAGAGAAAGCTAAACATCTTGTGTGTGCCATTTTTAAAATATCAATTAAATGAACTATACAACATCGATACAATTATCAATCCACACAGAGTAGATTGAAACTCATAAACTCTGTTTCTCCCATTTGAGCAAAGGAGATACTTCAGTGAGTTATCATGGTATTATGGTTATTTATTAAAAGATGGGGGATAGAGAACAGACCGATTAAATTGTCAGGCAGAGATATCCTCACTTTTTAGCACCTTGTATGAGTGAAGCCTCCAAAACTGATGGATCCTACACTTACTATAATGAAACTCAGTAGCATTTTTCCTTAATCTTTCCTGCCTGGCAAACGCCCACATCTTTTCAAACGAGTTATTTTTTCAGACTTTAGAGAACTCCTTCAAGAGCCACAGGAGACATTATGCAACTGTTTTCACAACTTGAGTGAAACTCCATGTGACAAGTAAACTGATCTTCACGTGTAAAGTCGGTAAGATCGGTAAAATCTTTAAGTGTGGAAACATTGACTATGGTGAAATCCATTCAGCTCCCAAACATTTACAGTAAGTTACAGCTAATTCTTATACTGGCGGAAGTACAGTGCTACGGAACAGGACTTCAGATTGGGAAGACATGTCTTGGGCTGCTCTTTTTGCCCCTGCAGAGAATGCCAGAAATGACAAACATGACCTTTAACCTCTCACCTTTACGCCCCTCACCCTGCATGACTTTACACACAAGCATGTGAGATGAATGATAGTCTTTATTGTTTTTTTTTGTTTAAATACACAGACAGAGTAAATGAATCTGTGAATCTTACTGTCTTTTGCTTTAGTGCCACCAGCAGGTGAAAAATGTATCTTTAGTTTGTACGAAGAAACCTCAAAATCTACAAAGACCAAAACCCTATCAACAAGCTAACTAATATGCATGTCAAGCTAGTGCTCTCATGGTTACTCTTCTTATAGTTAGCATGCTAATATACTAATATTTAGCCTGTAACAATGTGCAGTAAGTGCAAGTCTGAAATAATATTAATTTGAATACTTCAGTGATTCTTTATTTTCTCTATGCACTTCTTTCTATAGTCATGTAGTGGTTAATCCCAGCATGCATTTGGGCAGAAAGCGGTGAGGTCATCTTTTCGTCACAAGGCCTGTCAGTTAAACCCAGAAGAAATGTTTGTTTTAGACAGCACTGTAAATCAGCCATGACATGACAATAGCTGTTATTGAAAGCAAAATGCTTCCCACCCAGCTTTGTATACATTCTGAAATTATAGGCCCCCATTTCTATGTGACCTTTAACAGCCCGTGTAAGCCGTTCAGACATCTTAATATGATTTATTCCAAACCAATCAGAGTCAGACAGCTAAGTAGATCATTACACAAAGACTGCATTCATAAACATCCTAATTGGAGCAAATGAAGAGGAGTTGGTTTTCCTGGATTTCACCAATAGCATCTCTCTGCGTGATGAGCGCTTCCTGAACCGGCAAGCCAGAGCCTTGTTTATGTTAGAAGGAGATGGATCGGGCACAACCTCTCAACCCATTTCCTCTGTTGATTTTTTTTTCCTTTTTTTTGTATTAGGGCTTGAGGGAACATGCCCAGCCCCCCCTGCAACAACACAAACACACACACACACACACACACACACACACACACACACACACACACACACACGCACACACACACGCACACACACGCACACACCGCTGGAAGAGGAAGCAAACTTGTCTCATGGTTAATAAGCAGTGGCAGGGCAATTTGTACTCATTGGACTGAGCAAACAGGACCTGTTGTCTCCTCATTGATGAATGTAATTATTGACAGAGACAAATTTGACATATGTTAAAAATGTCACAATTATGCCTCTATTGGAGGTAACTGATTTGTTTACTATAGTATATTGTATTCTGTTGCAATTAATTGGGTGTTCACAGCAGGGCAAGTAACTGGTGGTTTTTAAAAGGTAATTTAGTGTCAAAGTCAGAAATCCACACTTGTATATAAGAAGATAACTTCACTGACATCAAGGGAAATGCTATTAAAAAAAACTCAGCAGATGGATCCATGGGGTCCGAATGTTTCACGTGTTAACTATAGCTCCAGTTGAAAAGTGTTGAACGCTATTTTAAATTACAGACAATTACAAATTATTTTTTGGGTTCAAAGTGCATCAGGAAAAAGTGACATTTGTAACTTGGGTAGTTAAAACTGACTACAAACAAACGTAAACGCGTATTTAGTTGAATACACCTTCTTCTGCTTCGTGCGCCACAGCTGGCTGCCAGTTCATCCTTTTGACCACCAGGTGGCAGCACGATGCCGCTTTATCCGTCTCTCTTCACCGCATCGGAATTCAGAGTGTCCTCCGGAGTTCCAGAGCAGCACATCAGGTTTTGTTAAGCGTATAGGTCATGTCATTTGAGTTTATGGATGACTTAGAAACACCGTGCCTGGTCGAAAAAAACATTTGAAACCTATTTTCTCACTCCAGAGGGGGGAAAAAATAGTCCCCTCTCGCGCGCCCCCCACAGCCATTACGCACAAACATTTCCTGGACTATAATCTAGAGCTGATACTGACAGTTACACTGTCTCACGATAAACAGATCACACGCTGCACGGCGGTAACAAGTCTTGTCCAAACCTCGCTGACGTCTTTATGATGAGCCTCAGGTATTTTACATTGTACAGAAACCACCGCTTTAATAAGAGTAACCTGAGAGGTCCACTCGATATGCAATTAAAAGCATTCAATGCCAAACATGACAAAACAAATGTTTGACATAAAATATTTAAAAATTGTTGCAGAAAATCGACAACTGCTCAGATTAGTCTTCCTGGTTGTGTTTCTTAAATCGTAGACTCTGATGACTTTTCCTGATTTGTTTCAATTCTTGTATCAAGATGTTGACACTAAAAAAGATGAATAAACCCCTTCAATTGTTCTTTTTATCCCCTTCTTTTAGGAACAGGTGGATCAGTGCAAGTGGAAGAAGAGGTGAATCTAATTGACTGCTGAACGTGCAAAGTGGGAAGAAGGTCAATTTTAGCTGGGATCTGGGTTTAAGAGAGGACAGAAGCGTTAAGACTGGGGCCCAGGGGGCATTACACTGAGGAGACCACCTGTAGTGCCCCTACTGCCATGCCGCTGTTGTTCCCCGCGTCTCACAGCATGTGAATCTGCAACACCTGAGAGGTTTACCAGAGTTTACTTATCCTTTATGCCCCCCCCCATTCCTCCCAGTCTCGACCGCTCCGCTCAGAGAAAAAAAAAAAAAAAACACAAGTTACAACTTTTAATTAAAATATAAATGAATCTATCACTTACATAACTCAACTTTAGGCTGGAGTCTGAAGAGTCTACACTGTGCAGTTTGTGTTTTAAAGCATGACAAGCACTTCAGAGACAGTTAGCAGTGTCAAACACCAGGACAGAGTTTTGGCGAGAATGACCAGGACGCACGTGTAAAACAAATTCATAAAAGTTGTTTTATTCTCAAAATAAAATCTTCTATCAAAGTGGAATTATACATATTTACAATCTCGTAAATTTCCATATACAAATGTACAATATATGTACACCAATAATTATATAAATACACTTTACGCGCTAATGCAACCCGTATGAGACAGTATTAAGGCATTGATTAATGAACGTGTAAATCCATCTTGGGAGACAAAACGTCCTCGTTTCAAGCAGAGCGGTCTCATTGTGAATCTGGTGTTTAAGACACAGCGGTTCTTTACAGTAAGGAGGAGAAGCGCTCCAGCTATACCACGTAACCTATATCGACAAAAGGGATCTTGTCAGCTGTATGCATTCAATTAAGCCCAGATAAGACTCTGCATTCTTAGTGCCAGGTACATTGTTCTGCTGCTGAGGGGTCTCATTATTTAAAAAGAAGCCATTAGGCGTTCATTAATGTGCTAATTAAAACACGCTGATGGACAATCCCAACACAATTAGTCACCACCCTCCCCTAACCCAACCCCCCGCCAACCCCCACCCCTCTATATTCCAGCCTAAGCACGTCATTTGGATAAGGCGAGGAAGGAGAACTCTCTAAACTGATTCTTGTAACTTTTACAAGCAGAATGGCCACAAATCCAACAGTTCACATTAGGGGAGTGCTCGTGACCAAATTTTCATCTAACCTGGCAGTCCGGTGACTCACTTTTGAATAATTTACCACATAAAATCATTTGAATCAGTCTTCACGTCGCTGTGTCCCCAAACAGAGCAGATACGCGCTGCTTTTAGTCTTTAGTGCCAAATGACATCTGATCCAAAGGATCAAACCCGGGACAGTGGCATCTGTTTGGGGCAGGAGACGGAGCTGGCCGTCCCGGACCTCCAGGTCAGTCCCGTGCTCACGTCACTGTACATGGAGCCCGCGGAGGCTTTGCTCCCCCAGCAACACCGCGTGCAAAAAGTTCTCCAGGAGTCCAGTGTTTTCCCGGACCAGATCCAGGCTCCTGACGTGATGCCCACCAGGAGGCACATAAAGTATTTCAGCATGAACACGGCATAGTCCGGCCTCTGCCTGTTCGGGTCCGTCTGGCACGTACAGTTGTGCGTAATTTCCCACGTCTGTCGGTTGTGCTGCTCGTAAAAGTAACACGCCACTATGACAGTAGCTGGGACTGTGTATAAAACTGTGAAAACTCCTATCCGGATCATCAGCCTCTCCAGCTTGTCAGTCTTGGTCCCCCCTTGCTTGATTACGCTCCTGATCCTGAACAGAGAAACGAACCCGGCCAGCAGAAACATGGTGCCGATGAACAGGTAGATAACCAGCGGTGCCAACACGAAACCCCGCAGGTTATCCAGATTCTGGTTGCCCACGTAGCAAATCCCAGCCACAGAGTCCCCGTCCACAGAGCTCAGAGCCAAAACTGCTATTGACTTCATGCTGGGGATGAGCCAGGCGGCCAAATGAAAGTACTGTGCGTAACTGGCTATAGCCTCGTTCCCCCACTTCATACCTGCGGCCAGAAACCACGTGAGGGACAGTATCACCCACCAGATCGAGCTGGCCATGCCGAAGAAGTAGATGAGCAGGAAAACAATGGTGCAGAGCGCAGGACCTGTGGTCTCATAGTGGATGTGCTCAGCGCCGTTTTCTCTGTTGCAGGCCACTTCCTCATGTCCGGCGATCAGTCTGACTATGTATCCAACTGACACGAACATGTAGCAGGCGGAGAGGAATATGATGGGGCGCTCCGGGTACTTAAACCTCTCCATGTCGATCAGGAAAGTCGCCACAGTTGCGAAAGTGGAGATGAAGCACAGGATGGACCACAGGCCGATCCAGAAGGCGGTAAAAGTTCTCTCTTCCTGGGTAAAGTAGGGGTTGTGGCACGGCATGGCGCAGTTCAGGATCTGTCCCGTCTTGACGCGGTTGTGCAGCGGGTGGCTGTCGCTGGTCACCGGCACCATGGGCGCACGGCAGAAACATCCCGGCTCACACGGGGAAACAGCTGGTTTGTGTTTCCCGGGGATGCCGCGGCCGTAGCCGCTCTTCTTCCTGTTGTTGAACGGCTTCAGGGGCCGGTTGGTCGGCTTCGCCACCACGGGAGAAGCAGTGGTGGTCTGGCTCCGGTTATAGTCCATGCACAGCGTGTCCTGGTTGCCTTGCTCGGGCAGCAGGTCGCACCTCATCCGGTCTGGCCACGGGAAGCCGTACTGCCTCATGAGCGGAGCGCATCCAGCTTTGGCCCGCTCACACACGCTCCTGCACGGCGGCAGTGGCTTCTTGTAGTCCTCCAGGCAGATCGGTGTGTACATGCTGCAGAGGAAGAAGCGCAAGTCCGGCGAGCACTTTATCTCCACCAGCGGCCAGAACTGGTGCACCTCCAGGCCGGCTTCGTCCTGCGTGTCGTGGTTGAACTGGTTGGGCATGTAGGTGTAGTTGTAGCCGATGCCTTTGCACAGAGGCACGGAGATCTCCTGGCACTGGAGCTCCTTGGCCGCCATGCAGCGCGTTCCGTGCAAGACGAGGGTTAACAGCACGCACCATCCCGGGATGCTCCTCTCCATCGTCGTTTTCCTGTGCGCGAGTCGTCCTCGAGAAAGTGCGAGCGAACTTGCGCTTTGCAAGTAGGCTGCAAGTGGGATTAATCCAGGGATGCTGCTGAACTCATGCTAGAGCGCAGATCGTTTGTGACAGTCTGTAAAATCCAAAAAACAAGCGCTTTACTTTCTCACAGTCTGGGATACTGTCAGTCTCCTCACTCTCTCTCTCCCTCTCTGCCTGTCAGTCTAGCACCGTGTTTCTCTCTGCATGTTGTGTAGCTGCTCGGTGTGTTGGGTTTTATACGGGAGGACGGAGGACACTCCCCCAGCATGGGCGGGGAGGGAGAATAAGTCAATCCACGGTTCCTTCTATAGGTGTTTGTTTAAAATGTTCACCCTGGAGGAAGGGTTATAATCACTTTGTCTCTGTTTACCCCGACCCCCAACACACACACACACACACACACACACACACACACACACACACACACACACACACACACACAACCCTTTACAAACAGGGAGACATGGGCTGTAGGACAATAGAGACATTAGGAAGGAATGTAATTAGGGACACAGGCAGTGGGGAGTAAACTAACATACATCACTGTTATAAATCAAATCATTAAGGGGGAATATAAAAAACTACTTTTCTGACTAGGTCTGACTTGTGTTCCTGTTGGTGGTTGTTTGACTAATGACTGGAGGTCATGCTACATTTCCTATCACTCTGGTTTGATACTTTTTCATTTGCTAAAAATACAACAAGAAATTGACACTAAGAGGAACATTAACTTTATAATAATGTGACATTGGAATATTTATTAGTTGAAATTAGTGCAGTACTGCAACTCATCTGTGTTTAATTCATTTACATGACAAGAACTGCTTTGTTACGGGTCACACGTTCAAATCCTGAAACAGTGCCCTCGAACCAAACACCAAATCTCTGCAGACTCACCACATGTCATCTGGACAGGAGTATTGCTGGACTTTTTAAATTTGTAATTGAAATACTAGAGCTTGTGACTGTATTGAATATTTACTTATTAAACTCATAATAGAAATAAAATGTAAAGTTCTATCTCAATGGGATACACCTGACTAAATAAAAAAGGTAAATAAATAAATAAACAAACGTATAATATAATAATTTAGCCTTGTAAATTAGCCTTTCATGCTAATTCTGGCAAGTCCCTGTCAAATGAACTAATAAAATAAGTTAAATAGACGTTTCTCTTTTAAAAACGTTCCTGTTTCCGTATTTGCAACTTCAAACAAAAGCAACAAAAATAGTCTCAAATTTTTTGAGTATTTGCCTGTAACATTCACACTCCTTCCCAAAAAGAAAGATGGTGGAAAGTAAATCATTTTCACCATCTTTGTTGTAGTTTCCACATTATCCAAACCACTTGGAAATGATAGAATTTTCCATTTCTGTTGTAATTCATTTTCAGGAAATCATTTTGGTCAGCCGCTGTTTAAAAGCAGGTGGATCGACAGATTTCCAGTTATTTAAGATAAGTCTTTTGGCAGTTGGTTCATATTGCTGTGCAGTTTATAAAAAGCCAGTGTTATTCATTCATCAGCGAACGGTTCTGAAAGCCAGAGGGGAGCAGTGGTTTGATACTGTCCGTCATTCACCCTCCGCTGCAGGGACTGACTTCCAGTGTCTGCGGATGTGACGCTGTGTGAACGTGCACATGCGGCCTCAGCTGGACGTATGTGTGAAGGAATGAGAAATGTGTGAAATGTGTGTCTACATGCTGATGTATGACAGTGCGTGAATATGTCTGCTTGTCTGTTTGCATGCAGGAAAAATAGAAGGAGAATGTGTGTGTGTGTGTGTGTGTGTGTGTGTGTGTGTGGCAAGGGAGGTTAATGTGGTCTTGTTAGCCCACAGCGGGGGGTTGTCTTGGTCTAAAGGGAGGGGGCTGTTTGTCTTAACGCTGGTGCCAATGTTTCACTCAGAGCATGCTGAGCCGGCGATTACTGCGACGCACCACCAGGCCCAACAAACAAGACAGTGTGTGTGTGTGTGTGTTTCTGAGCTCAGCCCAAAGAATAAGCTAATATGGGCAGATACAGCATTGTGATAGCACTAATTAAAGTCATTCACACTTCTTATTGGATTCATCAGCTTCAAATGGAGCTGAGACAGTTTGGCAGACGGGCAGCGTGTTTCCAATCCACAGGTTCTATCACAACTAATTAGCTCCAAACTCCAGTATTTGCTAAAGGATGCTTGTTTTAGCTCTGTTTAGAATACCAGCTGGGTGGGGTGTATTGTGTGAAGGTAATTTTGAGGGTGCTGGGTGAGGGGGCAATCACAATTGTTTCTAAATTGAGTTTACGATACTTATACAACACACTGTATTCTGCTGTTTGGCAAACACCCATGTGATATGAAGCAGTCCTCTGTCAAAACATGGAGAACATGTCATGGAAACTTGTTGTCTCCTCACTGTTGATATTTACAACCACACGGATACTCCGAGCCACTGCCAAAAAAACATTGCATGTGTCATCACAGCCGTTAGCTAAGTTGTAACTTTCCTTGGCTTAAACACAAACATGTGTTATATATTTCCCCTGTCAAGTCAAGTCAGTCTAGTTTTATCTATAAAAGCCCCAAAATCACAAATTTGCCCCAGAGGGCTCAGTGTTCTCTACAACATGTTCCAAGAAGAACAACAGACAAGGAACATAAACAACAAACACAAGTCTCAGCAGTAGAGTAACAACATTAAAGGCTACTACAATACTAGGTAAACTAGAATTACCACCTCATGGTTGTCTGCCTCCGCCACTCAGATTAGTTTCATATTACATCGCTGTTTATCCAGAGTCATATTAAATATTAACCATTTGGGTGAAATTTTGTCATAATTGCTGTGTGAAGTCTTGAGTTATGGCTAAAAAGTGTTTTCTGAGGTCACCGTGACCTTGACCTGTGACTTACAAAATCTAATTAGTTCATTTTTTGAGTCCAAGTGAATGTTTGTGCCAAATTTGAAGGGATTCCCTTGAGAGTTCTGAGATATTGTGCTCACAAGGTCAAAATCATGTTTTGTGAGGTCACCGTGACCTTTGACCTTATGTAATCAAATCTAATCAGTTTTTCCTGTGTCCAGGTGAACGTTTTTACCAAATTTGGAGAAATTCCTTCAAGGCGTTACGGAGATATTACGTCCACAAGGCCAAAACCATGTTTTGTGTGGTGACCCAAAATTTAATCAGTTAATCCTTGAGTCCTTGTGAATGGTTGTGCCAAATTTGAAGAAGTTTCATCAAGGTGTTATTGAGATAGATAGAATGAGACGGACAGATGTACAAATGAACGGATGGACAACCCGAAAACAATACGCCTCCGGAGGCATAAAACAACAAAAAGTAAAGCTGTTCTTCCTGTTGTTCACTTCAACCCACCGCTAAACACCTTTTGGTACACTTCAGCTCATTTCAGTCACCTCACCAACTGGCTTTAAGTACATGAACTGAAAAGAGAGCTTTTCTGTGCTTTGGAACAGTTTGGCGGTGATGACACTGTTGGTAACAACCTGGGGCAGCATGGGGCAGCATGGGTTCAAATCCCCCAATACCCTGACAAACTTTGCTTAATTAATTAAACAGAGATCCTGCTATATTGCAGGTAAGGAGACCCTTCGTAAGGGTGCCTTTGTTTACATTGAACCAAACAAAGCTGCTGTTTTGGCGTGAGGTCCAAGGAGGGTTGGTATGTAAGGCCTATACTCACTTGCGGATGCGTACACGCACAGCTTCGGACATGTAGTTGCTTTCATTTATACTCCACTTAGAGGATGTGTTCAATACATGCGCAGTAGATCATTGTCCACGTGTTCCGTATATGCGCGCTACAGCACCCAGTGGGGAACATGCGTAGTTGGTTACCCTTATAGTATAGTGTAGCTACATGGACTGACAGTGTGGACATAAACTGGTTATCAGAGCCTCATGGAAATTCTCCTCTGACGAAATTTACATCACATGGACCCCAGCATACTCGCAGATATGGAGAGTATAACTACGTTACGCTAGTCTACATGAACCAAAGGAAAGGGCTCACAGTATTGCCAAAATTTATATAGTCAGTTTGGAAGAAATGTGCTGTCCGATGTTTACTGCTCAACATGAACATTTATATAATTCATAGAGAGTTACTCTTGTGAATATAAAGCTACAAGTGGAATGTTTTCGATGTTACCAGAATGTAATTTGGGTCTTTAAAGCAGCTTTTACGGCATTTCCTCAGTTAAGTTGAGATCCACATAAAAGTCGTGCTTCTCGCAGGACTCCTGATAGCTCAGAACTTCAGCAATTTCCAGGATTCAGTTTTACTCTCATACCAGTCAGAACAGGTGGAACATTTTTCTCATGGTGCAATGAGACCTCTTAGACATTCCCATGTATGCACAGGAACTTTCTGGGCCTGATCCAGATGCCTCACGCTGGGCCAGTCGTCTCCAGCTGAGCGGCGAACCGCAGGTGAAAGCCGGAGGAAACAGGTGCTTCGTCGTCTTCCTCCTGACGGGGCGAAGAGAATAGCAGACGGAGCATCGGTTGCACCAATCGCTGCCTATCAGAGTGGAACCCGTATTGATTAACAAGGCTGATAGACTCGGCGGCCCCAGCCACCAACTGTCGACTTCGTCTCCCCGCCTTCTGTGTGCAACGGCGATAGCGGGTTTAGGGTTACACGCTGGCCCCCTGCATACCAAATTTAAAAGGGTGGAAATGGAATTACTGCATCTGTTTAGAAGTCGATTTCTGCATTCTCCAGTCCCAACCACTCCTCTATCTAACCTCCCCTCTTGCTTCTCTCTTGCCTACCCTACCCCCCCAATCTTTCCCCCTGATTCTCCCAGGGCTCTCAAAGTTCATGACGCTAAAGAGAAAGGCAAGGGGGGGGGGGTTCTCACAGAGTTACTGAGGCATGCTGTGAAACTCTGAAATGTTTGTCTTTGTAACCTCCTCATGGGAAGTTTGGCCCTGTGACACTCTCAAACTCTGCTGTCCGTTTTATAATTAGCTAAATTTTGCATTGATTAACACTGACTTGGGACTGACTTGTCACACTGTGGGACACACACACCCTGAAATATATCTCTTATACACAAGTGAAAAAAACAAAAAATAAACAAACAAAAAAAAACACCAGATGAAATAAAGTATAGATTTGAATCAACGATCTAATAATTAGAGGTTATAGGAATAGAATATAGGAATTATAAGA